TATATATATATATATATATATATATATATACATACGTATGTATGTAGTTTTTTGTATTTTTTATGCTTAAAAATGAATGAAAAATATATATAAAAATTGATATTTTCGCATTTAGGATATTAAAACTAAAATATCGGTTAAACAGAAACAAATTATTGGCACTTTTTCCTCTTTTCTTGACACAAGAAGTCATCAAGAGCAACAAAGGTCCATTAAAAATACAAACATAGAGTAAAAGGTTCATATTTTACAAAAACCAATAAAATAAAAATGTAGATGATCTGAAGTCGGTTTATGATTGCACAATTAGATGATGGGTTATTTTACAGACTTTAAGAGATTCTTTTTGTTTATTTGTCAACATTATGCTATTAAAATGATGTATTCACTCCATATTTGTTACTCACAGCCTCTGTCTGGCCCTAAATAAACAGAACTTAAAGCCAGATTTCCTTCAATGCTAACAAGTTTTAAATGCTTTTATTGGGTCTTTGTTGCACTTTAGACTCCTGCGGTCAAAAATGATAGAACAGATCATTAATAGGTTTCTGTTTGTTTTAATATTCTAATTTTAAAAAGAAAATTAATCTTTTTTTGGGTATTTCTCATTCATTTTTTTTATCATAAAATGAAAAACTGCTTATATTTCAAATAAATCTAATAGATTTGGACAAAAATCAAAACAAGCAATTGCTTTTTTTTTTTTTATACTGCTTCCTGGTAATAAAATACAATTTTTCTAGAACGTAGAAGGAAACAATCAGGATATTTTAGGTTTATTTAATAACGTTTTAAAAAATAATGTGCGGTTCTTTGGGCACGTTTAAGGGGCGGCCCTCAGCAGCTTTACCAACTAGACCACAGCGCCCCCTCTGGTCAAAATTTGGTACTGCAGCTAAAAATACAATTATAAACTGTTACCTTTAAAAAGAAAAACTTTTCTTGTTGTCCTGTGACTTGTAGAAGGTCTTAACTCTATAAAACTAAACATTTAGGGTGAAACACCAAACCCCCAGAGTCAAGCCGAAGACGTTTCGGTGACGTCAACAAAAACCTTCAACAAAATCTTCAAAACCTTCATTTCAGTGCAACCCGGTCTGTCTCATGAGTAAAACCCTATTTGACTTGAAAAAACGATTTTTTTTGTTTGTGTAGCAGTTTGTATATTAAATGTAAAAAAAGTGTTGATGTTTTTTCATTTTGTTTACTTGACAAGAATGAGCCGAATGCCGACGTCCTGCTGCTGTTTGTTTTTAACCGCTGTGTCCATTTGTGGAAAAGTCCTTTGTCTGCTGATTGTTGTTGTTTTTGTTCTTTCTGACTGTTGTAAAATATTTATTAACTTTGTATATTTATACAAATACTTGTACAGGCGGTCTTTGCTCTGATGAAAACTCTTACTTCAGCTGGAAAGCCGATGGTTTCAGAGCGAGGATCAGTTTAAAATAAACCCAAGACGAGGATCTGATCAGTGAAGACTGGGTCCAAACGGGTCCTGATCTGAGCTGCTCGCCGTCTAAATGTCCAAATAAACTCGCGGTTTCTTTTCATGGTGATGTTGAGCCGTCCACATTAAGATCTGAATCAAATTTAGAGCAAAATCCTAGCAGTTTATCCAAATAACATGGAAATAACTCAACATTTACACTTGAATCAGCACAAAACAAGTTATTTTAATTAGTTGTTAAAGATTAAAATTTTCTTTAAAATCACCTTTTACTTTGTTGCACTGCACTGAATATTTTAACATTTTTAGACTTTAAAAATGTGACATTAAAACTGGCTTCATTTTCATTTAATAGCAGAGTTTAAGCAACATTTGCATGTTTAAAAACGAACAATTCACAAATTTTTGAAGAGAGATTGTCTGATCATACGCTGTAAAATTAAATGGTCCAAATAAAAATGGCAGACGCATGAACACCAGTTTGAATGACCTGTTTGGAGAAAAAGTTTATGTCTGGTAGGATCGACGAGCTAACGGCTGGTCGGAGTGAAAACAAGTCTAAGTCGTCCCGTTTCAGTTATTCAAACAGAATCATGATCGTTTAAAAAGAGCTGCAGCTAGCTGTAGCACTTCCTGTGTAGCCTCGGTCTCTTCCTGTAGGTGTATCATGACATTTCTACCTGAATAATTGTTTGATGTAAAACTGATGGGACTGTTAAAGTTTATTAAATAATATTTGTATGAAGCACCATGAAACATTTGAAGTGGAGTTTTAAGATGACAGCAATAGACTTTACTTCAAAAAGTAGCCGTTAGCTCGTCATTCTGGCTCAAATTAAACTATTTTGCCAACATGAGGTCATTTAAAGGCTACATATAACATGAACCTGAATATTTCTGTATAGCATCAACGATAAACTCTTGATCTCTCTGGATAACTTTGTAAATAAAATCTTTCCCACGTTTCTCACAGCTGTGTGGTTTCGCTTTCTTTGTCGTCTGTTGTGTTCACCACTAGGTGGTGTATGTGACTAAGACTGAGGGTAGAAAAGGAGAAGAAGAAGAAGAAGAACGAGGTTGATGATGAACACCTGCTGTTGCTGGATAAGCTGCTGTACTGCTGAACAAGTGAAGAATAAAGAATGCTCTTAACAAGAATTGTGGACTGAGGTTCTACTTGATGCCTAGACTGCAAATGCAAACATAACAATTGGCGACGATGATGTCTGTACCCATGCCTGAACCGTTCCTGCCCTGCAGTGGAGAACCTACTGTTCCATTTTCCACATGGCAGATGATGTTTGAGAACTACTTAACAGCGATTCATGCTACTGGAAATGCTTGGCCTGAAGCTAGACGCCGTGCTCTGCTGATTCGTGCACTTGGATTCGAGGGACAACGTTTGTTTTACACCTTGCCCAACACTGGCACTTCATATGATGAGGCGATGATGGCGTTGGAGCTACAATTTGCACCAAAGGTGAATGTGGTTGTAGCAAGACACCATTTTCGACAAAGAACGCAGAGAGCTAATGAGACCGTGCCACAACACATGGCTGCTTTACGTGAGTTGGCAGTCACATGTGCTTATGGAAATATGGAAAACGAGATGCTACGGGACCAGCTTATCGAGAGAGCTTATGCGCCGGAGGTGAGAGACAGACTTTTATTGGAATCGTCACATACACTGGACACTGCTATTACACTGGCGTGTCAAGTGGAACATGCTCTACAGTCGTCCAAACTCCTCAGTGGAGCTGCTGCCGTTCACACGGTTGCCCAGCGTGGATTTCATAAGCGGAAGGATAGAAACCAGCGGGCTACTGCTTCTAAAAATAGCCACACGAGCACTGCACCACACACAACGAGAGCCTATTATCGCTGTGGATCGACAAAGCACCTGGCAAATGCACGACACTGCCCTGCAGTCACAGCAAAATGCAACAGCTGCGGTAAGACTGGACATTTTTCTAAAGTTTGCCGCTCAGCTAAACAAGTTAGAGAAGTAATGCCTGAAGTGGTTGTGCTCATGTTGAACAAAAAAGAAGTTAATACTACTGATAGACTGCTTTGCAAAGTTCTTATTAAAGCTGCTTCAGGGGAGTCTACTGACTGTGAACTACTGATTGATACAGGACCATCAGTTTCTATCATACCAGAAACTCTGTACAACAGACATTTTCCTGAAAGTCATCTAACTGCGCCTCATGTGAAACTAGTCACTTACTTGAAAGAGGACATTCCTGTAATAGGATATTTGGAAGCTATGGTTATTCTTAACAACTAAACTGCTCCTGCTTCTTTGTATGTGGTGCAAGGTGGATCTGCATTACTGGGAATGGACTTAATAAAAAGCTTGAAATGGACACTAAACCATGATTCAGTCCATGTTCCACCTCCTGAACATGTTTCTCCTGCTGCACCAGTGTGGTTAACAAAGACAGACTCTGCTTCTATTGGCTGTGTTGCTGGGTTTGTGCACAAAGTTAAAATACGTGATGAGACAGTCCCAGTTCAGCAAAAACTCCGATGTCTTCCATTTGCAATAAGAGAAGCTGTGTCAGAGGAACTGGAGCTGCTCCTGAAGGAGGGCATTATTGAGCACATTGATGCTTCTCCCTGGATTTCTCCTATTGTGATCACAACAAGAAAAGAAGGCAGACCAAGACCATGTGTTGACTTAAGAGAACCTAATAAAGCTATTGTTGCCAACAGTCGCCCCTTGCCCCACATGGATGAGCTTTTCAGTGAACTCAGGGGTGCTTCTGTGTTTTCCACTATAGACCTGGCATCTGCATATCAACAACTTTTACTATATGACGACAGTTGGGACCTTACAGCTTTTATCACACACAAAGGACTTTTCCGCTACTGCCGAGTTCCCTGCGGGTTTGCCTCTGCCCCATATGCATTCCAAAAAATGATGGAATCTGTACTTAAAGGCCTACCTGGTGTACACAATTATTTGGATGATGTGATTGTTGCAGGATCTTCTCTACAGGAACACGATTGACGCCTGCGTTTGGTGCCCCAGCGTCTTAAAGATGCAGGTCTGACACTCAACATGCAAAAATGGACTTTCAGACAGTCCAGTCTTAGATTTCTAGGTCATATAATCTCCAAGGATGGTATCCTTCCTGATTCAGATCATAGTGCAGCTATTTGTGAGGCCCCACCACCACATGATCTGCCATCTCTATGCTCCTTCCTGGGTTTAATCTCTTGGTACAGTAAATTCCTTCCCAATTTTGCTACAGTAGTGGAACCAATGAGGGCCCTACTAAGAGAAACCGCTGACTCTAGTTTCTTATGGATTGAAGAAGCAGACCAAAGCTTTAAGGAATTAAAAGAGCTTCTATTGAATAGTCCTATCCTGGCTCTTTTTGACCCCTCCCTCCCAACCATTGTTACCACAGATGCTTCAGCGTATGGATT